AGTGTTGCTGCCGGGACCCAGTGCCGTTCACGCCCCTTTCCTCTTCTCGTTCCCTGCGGCCAGGTGGGCAAAGGCGCGGCCGCCTCTGTGCTCCGCGTCCCAGCGCCCAGGCGGGGATGAGGTAGGGCGGGAGGGGAGGGCGGGCGGGGGCGGGGCGGCAGGCCACGCTGCGCTGGAGTTGGCAAGAAAGGGCTGCGAGAAGCTGCAGAAACTTGCTCCCTCCACGACCTGGGAGTCCCGCGCCCAGCTTAGGGGGAGTGGGGAGGGGGGCGCGACCCGCCGCCCAGCGGCCTTCTCTCGACCCCTCAAGTTCGTGGCCACAGTGCGGGCAGCGCTGACTCCCGGAGCGCTCGGAGCCTAGAGATGTCGGCGAGCGCCAGCTCCAGAGCCCGGGCTCGGGGGCCCAGCGCCGGGGAGAGAAGCCGGGACCCACCATCCGAGCCGAAAACAAGTGTATTCATATTCAAACAAACGGACCAATTGCACCAGGCGGGGAGAGGGAGCATCCAATCGGCTGGCGCGAGGCCCCGGCGCTGCTTTGCATAAAGCAATATTTTGTGTGGGAGCGAGCGGAGCATTTGCATGTTGCGGAGTGATTAGTGGGTTTGAAAAGCGAACCGTGGCTCGGCCTCATTTCCCGCTCTGGTTCAGGCGCAGGAGGAAGTGTTTTGCTGGAGGATGATGACAGAGGTCAGGCTTCGCTAATGGGCCAGTGAGGAGCGGTGGAGGCGAGGCCGGGCGCCGGCACACACACATTAACACACTTGAGCCATCACCAATCAGCATAGGTGTGCTGGCTGCAGCCACTTCCCTCACCCACACTCTTTATCTCTCACTCTCCAGCCGCTGACAGCCCATTTTATTGTCAATCTCTGTCTCCTTCCCAGGGATCTGAGAATTGCTCTCACACACTAAACCAGCAGCGTCCGTGGAGAAAACTCTCACCAGCAACTCCTTTAAAACACCGTCATTGCAAACCATTGTGGTCTTTAAGCAACAACAACAGCAAAAAACCCCCAACCAACCAAAACTCTTGACAGGAGAGCTTTGACGAGAGAGGATGCCTCATAAAGGTGAGTCCGCTTCTTTCTTCTTGCTTCATTTTTATTGCAGTATTCAGGCAGGTCTCCCCTTTCCTCCCTCCTTCCTTCCTCCCTCTGGCCGGTCCCCTCCCCCACTGCTACGCCGGGAGAGTTGGGCCGGAGAAGTTTCCACGCAGGAGCCCAAACTTTCTACTTCCAGCGAAAGCCCGCGTCGGAGGGCGACAGCCGGCGAGCGGGAGCGGCGCAGGGCTCGGGGCAGGCGGCCGGCTCAGTCCCAGCGCCAGCACGAGCTAGGCTCGCTGGAAGAACCGAGGCTCCGGGCGCAGCAAGCAGCCGCGGCTCCCGACCCCAACGTCGCCAAATGCCCCCGGCCGGCGGCAGAGGACGAAGAGGCTCTGCGGTGCCCCAGGCCGGGGAACGGCTTCGGAGACCCGGCTCCGCCGGCTGCTTTGTCCAGCCGAGGGCCCAGCGAGCGCGCACGGAGCGAGCGTGCGGAGGGAGCGCCCAGGAGCCAGCTCGCCGCGCCGCCGCCCGCCCGCCCTCCGGCTTTGTGCGGCGCTCGGCTCGGGCACCGAAGAGTCCGCGGGCATTCGAGCGCCGAGGGGCACCGCGCCCGCCGGCAGCCGGAGCAGAGTCAGTCGGCAAGGCAGCCACACGCTGGAGGCAGAGAGAAAGAGCGAGTGAGCGTGAGCCGGGAAGGAAGCCACCAGGCCAAAGCGGGCGAACGCGCGCTCTGAGGGAGCTCAGAGCCGAGCGGGAGGATTGTCAGCTTCCATCAAGCCCCCAGGCTCTTGCCCCCAAGTTGAGCGTAGAGCTCGGAACTTGAAAACTCTCTACTCCCCAGGCTTCCCCAACCGTCGCCCTCGCCCTGCGAAAGCTGGGGTCTTCCCTATCCTCCAGCTCCCAGCGCTCGGTGGGTATTTTTCCTTGTCTTCGTCTGACAAAGCTGCACCCGGTGTTGCCATTTCAACAAGTTTCGAGGTGGAAAGGTGGATTGCTTTAAAAAAAAAAAAATAATAATCCAAATCTCCTGATTTTTTTCTTTGTGAGGCCTCAAAGAAAAAAAAAATCAATATGAAAGCATTGGCTTTCCCCTTCGTCTGATCACATCCTCTCCCAGCTAATTAGTCTGAGTAATTTGAGAGCTTTTCGATTCTAAGACCCCAGGAGGAAAAGTGTCTTTTCAAAGTTCATAAAGTTGTTGCCTCTTTCCTTGTGCAGATTTTCTCAGTCTCCCTGGATCATAATAGCCCTGAATTTTAGCAAGTGTAATTGGGGGGAAATGGAGTTGAATTTCAAGTGGAAATGCTTTCTTTTTCGAGTGCTTAAACCCGGCCCTCCAGTCATGAGTGATTTCTAGAAAGTTTAAAAACAAAGTGAACGTGGTTTCTCCCCCTGCCCGCCCCACCCCCCCATCCTCTCGAAAGCTTCCTAAGCCATTTTGGACGTTTAACTCGAACTTGGGAAGATTTGAGGAGGGGGCAGGAGCAGAAAATGAAATGAAAAGCAAAGAGCTTGAAAGCCTGGTGAGTTTACCAAGGAGAAATAATAGTTGTTGCCGTTGACATTACATTTTTCATAGCCAGCGACCTTTGCAAATGTCTGAAGGCAATTTGATAAGTTGTTATCTTATTTGGCCCTAGAGAGTGAAACTTTGTCATCTTAATTGCTAATTACTCTTTGGCTGGGGGCTGGTAGGGCCGAAAGTGAGCTCTCCCCTTCACCCCAGCTGAGGAGTTTGGGATGGATTTTGAGAATTAAGTGATTAAAACCACTGCATTTGAAAGCAGAGGCTTGAGTCCGGGATGGGGGTGGCAGTGGCCCAGTGGTCTAGAGGACTGAGGCCCCATTGGACTCTGAGGTGTCTGGAGACTCTTTCTTTCCCCAAGTGAGTCTCTGACTGGACTAGGGCTGTAGAAAGCCCTGGGCTGAGCTGCGGGGCCAGGGGGGTGGGGGTTCTGGCTGCAACTGGGGTTCTAGCCTCCCTGTCCACGACTGCTTCCGGGTGTCCGCGTGGCCAGCTTCCTGGGTTGCTTTTGCACTAAGTTTTAACGATTACTTAAGTAATTAAATAGCTTCTTAGCTGAGATAGAGGTGGGAATGGAGCAGAACTGGAACTTGAAATGCTTCCACCTTCCCGGTTGCCTCAAAAATTAATCGGGTGGGCCTCTCTGGAATCAGCTAGTGAATTTTTTTTTTTTTAATGGCTTCAAAAATGTCTGGGCCAGGATGGGGGCATTCAGTTGTGGCTGAGTCCAGTGAGGGTTACAGAGAGGAGTTCAGGAAGTTTTACCCCTTCTAGGAGAATTCCACTTCCCCTCTCCCTGGCCACGACTGCTTTGCAGTTTCAGAGTCCCACTTTGAGGTGGGGGAGGCACATTCTTCAAGAAGTTGGGGTTTCTGCCCATCTTGGATCTGACTGTGGTTGTGGGGACTGAGAGACAGGAGGAAGGCCCTCGGAGCCAACCCAGCTAGAGGTAACTAGGTAGCCCTCTGCTGTCTCCAGTATTTACCAGGCCACATTCGGAAGCTGGGAAAATTCCTCCTCTTAAGTTTATTTTTATGGATTTAAGCTGCCTCCCAGCTAGTTAATAAATTAGACCATGAATGGCCTTGAAGAGAAAAAATGTACTTCTTGGAATTCTTTGCTTGTAGGCAGGCAAGATTAATAATCACAATAAGCAAAACAGAAAAAAAGAACGAATATTTTAGTTTTTTTAAACGGAGAAATAATGCTGTGACTATTTAATTATTTTACCTCTTTTTTTTTTTTTGCAAACCTCTTGAATAGGTTCTTTATTGTAACTCTCTCTTCCCAATTGAGCTCCCCACGGTGCCGTTGTATCTTTTTACAGCCCCTAACAACTCACACCAGTAACACAATTACCTCCAGATATTTATAACAAGAAATTACTTTTCTATTTTCTCCCCCCCCCTTCTTTTTAGGGCAAGGCAGGGAGGGGGTGGTGGAGGGCGAACCTTGGGGGACCCGCGCTGGGTCAGGACTTACAAAGCTAGAAGTGTCCCTCTGTTCCCTTTGTGAGTTGGTGGGTTGTTGGTACATTTGGTTGGAAGCTGTGTTGCTGGTTAGGGAGACTCGTTTTTGCTCTTTGGGTTTGGGGAGAGCTGGAGAATAGAAGCCATTGTTCGCTGTCTGTAGGCTTTGTCGACCACGCTCACCCCCTCCTGTTCGTACTTTTTAAAGCAGTGAGGCGAGGTAGACAGCGTGTGTCACAGTACAGTAAAAGGGGGGAAGATCTAAACACCAAAAGAGAAGTTAATCACAATAAGTGAGGTTTGGGGGGGAAAAGTTGGGCTCGCTACTTTCAAAGTCCCAGAAAGACTGGGAGGTGGGTGGAGTAGGGGCCTGGCTGGGAAGCTTTGAGGGAGAGAGTGGAAGATGAAGGGGTAGCCAGAGAGTTGGGTGCTGGGGGCCTTGGGGGAACTCCGGTGGTGAAACTCCTTAAGGAAGGAGTATGGGCTCTGCAGTCCTTCTGATCTGCCCCAGCCTGCACCTCAGGCACCCTGAAGTTTAGAGATCCTCCTCCCCTCCCCTCTAAACCTCAGGTATTAGTCTTTGGCGTCTGTTCCTAACGCCACTGTGTCTCTTGTTCTCCCCTTTCCCTTTAACTGATTCTTGATATTTTTGCAAAATGGTTCCCTGACTTGTCAGATTCTCCAGTTCTCCCAAGCCAGGCCAGAGCAGCCACTTTTAAAAGGTGGGGACGTCTGCAAGAGAGGCAGCTGGAAATGTGGTTGTGACTCTGGGATTTAGGATTTTAGGGTAGTTTGAGCCCTAGATGCATGTTTTGTTTTGTTGTGTTTTTCGGAGAGTGTGGCTCTGAGAGCCCATGGGCCTATGCTTTTGAGCTACAGTTTGACATACCTTTCTCTCCTTTTGTTTTGTCTTAGGGGGAAGACTTTAACTAGGGGTGCGCAGATGTGTGAGACCTTTTATTGTAAGAGCGGACAGACATCCCAGATTTCAGGCAAGTTCTGCGGTGGCTGCTTTGGGTTCCAAAACCTGAAAGAGTCAGAAATACTTCTTCATTGTTGTTCACATGGAAGAAGAAGAAGAAAAAAAAATCGAAATTGGGTCATTTCTTCTGATTCAAGAGTGAGCTACTAGGGGGTTTGGGGAAAACAGTTTGGGAATATTGGAGTATTTTATTTGTAACCCAAAGGGTAGATTTTGCATGCACTGGAGGGCAGAGGTGGATGCCCCTCAGATGGCCCCAAGCGATTGAGTGGATCATTTCCTCAAGAAGGGGCATTCTGCTGTCCTGGCTCCAGGTCACCCTCTGTTGGGAGGTAGGCCTACCTGGCGTGGGCCCAGGATTAACGCCTATGTTCTTGCTAACAGAGCCCCCTATTCGAACCCCGTGGGATCCCGTGGCCCCCAGCCAGCGCCAGCATGCAGAACAGTAAGTGCCTCTGGTCTTTCTCAGACTTTGGGCTGGGGACGAGCGGACCGGCGGGTCAGGGGAGGGCGGGCGCAGAGGTTCGCGGTGTCCACGCTGGCCAGGCCGTCTGGCGCGAGGGAAGAGGCCCGGGGACCTGAGGCAGCTGCGCCCCCCTTCGCGCTCGGCAACCCGAGAGGGGAGGACGTTTGCTCTGCTGTTCTCGCTCCTGGAAGAACAGGGGCTGAGCCCTTCAGAACAGCCCACTAGAGTTTGCGAAGCTGAGGTAGAGAAACCCCATCCCCCCCCAAATCCTGTAACTCACACCCCCCTCCCCGCCCCTGCCCGGGCTCTGACCCCAGAGAGAGAGGCTGGGCTGAACAGGGCGGGGCGGAGGCTTCTCCTAGTTGCGCGAGGAGAAGGAGGCCCCTTTGGGTTTAGCCAAGACTGAATGTCTCCGCCATCCGGGCGGGGTGGGGTGGGGGGCTCCCCTCCCCCAGTCACTCTCAGGACAGCTCCTCCCCTCCCCCACCCCAGCTTTGGGCCTAGAAGGCAAAGGGAGCGGGGCACCCTGGCCTGCGGTGGTGGGGGGGGGAGGGTCGGGGGGAGGTGGTAAACTGGGACCCTGGGGCTGTACTGGCCAGAGCAGGTTTACTGGGTCTGGGAAGAGAGTGGGTATCGAGCCTTGGAGCTGGAGAAGCCCTGCCCTGGTGGGCTATGCGGGTTCTGATCGTTCCAGGCCCGCAGTGCCTTTGATTCCCCGTTCCTGTGCCTCCCATCCTCTCTCTACCCAGGCCCCTTGGGCCCCAGCCCACCTTCCTGCTCAGTCCGTGGGTGCTGGTATGTGGCAGGGCTAGTCTGGAGCCCGGGCCTGGGAGCCTGGAGACCCAGTGAAACTAGGCCTGGGTTGTGAGGTGCAGAGTCTGGACGCGATTTAAGGGTTCAGCTGTGGTAGGAGTGCGGAAAGGCCTGTCTTCTAGCAACCTTCCCTTGGCGAACTGCAGACTTCGGAGGGTCTCCAATGCCCGATCCATGTGTCCTGGGAGCGCGAGCCGCCCCAGGTGCTTCCGCGGCTGGTGGGCGCGAAGCGCACGAGGGGACTCAAAGGTGGCGAGCTTTAGGGCGAGTTAGTTGTGCGGAACCTGCCAGGCCCGGGAGGGACCCTCCTTGGCGAGGCAAGGGCTTCTGCCCACCTCTCCTGGCTGCTGGGTTCTCGCCCTGCAGCTCAGCCTCCCCAGCCGTAGGCTCTCGGGCCCGTTCCGGCCGGGGCGCGCGGCTCTGAGCGTTTGCAGGCCCCGAGGGGCGCGGGGTCGCGGGCCGGCCTGCAGGGCTTTGTGCCGCTCGCTCCCGGGTGTGCGCGAGGCGCAGAGCATCCAAATTGACACCATATGTTTTCCTATTAGATGCTTCGCGGTCGAATTCTAGGCGCATAATCATCGCCACTGGGCGAGAGCTCCAGCCGTCCCCAGGGAAGGGACACAATGATTGAGGCTTAACCTCTGAAGGGGAACTGAGAGCGGCGCTTCCTCTCTGCCTTTTCGACGCTGGCAGAGGCAACCTGGCCCTGGCGTCCCCTGGGCGAGCACCGAGCACCGGCCGGCGGTCGCTGCGGAGGTGGCCGGCCCGTTAGTTTTTGCAATGGGGGGAGAAGGAGGGAAGTCTCGGATTAGGCGGCCTCACACACCTTGGCAGGCACAGATTGGGAATTGCCCAGGCTGTGCGTGAAGTTTGGAAAGTCTTCCTCGGTCTCTCTCTGGGACAGCCTTTCGCTTCCCGGGAAGGCTCCCTTTGCCCAAAGGGAAGGCTCTGCAGCTGGAGCAGTAGATTGGTCTTGGGAGGCAAAGGAAGGCGATAAAGGGAATTTAGGAGAACCCGGAAGCGGGGACTAGGCCTCGCTCTGTTGGAGAAGCGGTATCCCCGAGATGTCCGCGCTCGCGCTGGGCCCGGCCGGAGCCCAGATCCCCCAAACGCCTGTCACTTCTCATCGAGTTGAGGCTCTGCCCCCGCCCCCGTCGGTGAGGGCCCCCCCTCTGCCCCAAGCCTTTGGCTACCCTGAAAACGCGGCTCCCCTCGAAGGGGAAACGAGTGCGGTTCAATCTCGTCTGAGTGATCTACAAATAGGGACGGAAAGGGTCGTTTTATCACGGTCCCGTTTGTCGTGACGATGCAATTTCCCGGAGCGGAGCACTGTCACAAAGTGACAAGGCTGCCACAAGCGCCCCGACTGATCTTTTCAATTAGCCTTCCATGCATGATCCGGAGCGACTTCCGCCTATTTCCAGAAATTAAGCTCAAACTTGACGTGCAGCTAGTTTTATTTTAAAGACAAATGTCAGAGAGGCTCATCATATTTTCCCCCCTCTTCTATATTTGGAGCTTATTTATTGCTAAGAAGCTCAGGCTCCTGGAGTCAATTTATCAGAGGCTCCAAGGAGAAGAGAGAAGAGGAGAGGAGAGAGCAGGGAGCTGAGCAGGGAGCCACGTCTTCTCCTGGAAGGGCTGCTCTCTAGAGTCGGGGCTGCAGGTTGGAGATTTTTAAGGAAGTGGAAATTGGCAATTGGCTTTATTTGTGTGCCTGTGGTTACTGGGGAGGGGGCTACTGAGAGGTGCTAACTCCCTTTCTCTATTCTCTGAGATTAGACAATGGGGGTGAGGTTGTGAGAATAACAAGATAAAGGAGGGCTAGAAGACACTGTGGTGTGCTCCTTTCTTTTTCCTGTCACTTTTTGCTTGGCTGTGTGGAAGGCCGAGGTTAGCAGCGGAAGTAAAGCAAGCTGGGCGAATGGACTCCAGGCTCTCGGCCCCTCTGCTGCAAGCCGAACTACTTTGTGTTTGGAGCCGATCCGGGGCTCTGGACTGGATGCGCAGGTTGGGGTTCACCAGCCACAGATTTGCTGCTCTGGTTCTTCTCTACTCCCTTCCCATCTCTTCATATATATATGTATATATATATGTAATGTAATGTAACGTAATAGATATACACGTAATTTTTTTTCAACTCTGGTGATTGTGCCTTCGCCAAAGTTTGGATTGTGACAGCAAATGTTTCTGGACTCTGGAGTCCAAGGGAATGCTGAAGAGCTGTAGGATTTGCTATCACAGTTCCAACAATGCAGAGACCTTGGAGATTGAGTGTGGGTTCCGTAGGACGCACGTTCTGCCGTGACATTCAGAGGGGATCTTTGGGAGGATATTTTTTGGAAGACTGTTTGCACCTTGTGAGTTCAGAGGCTGGCTGGGATGTTTATGAAGAGGGGCAAGTGGGCTGGGGCACGGCAGGAGTGACAGCGGGAGTGAGGTGCGTGTGTTCTTGCTCACTGGCAGGTGTCTGCATGGTGCTCCTGCAGTCGGGGGGCAGGAGCACGGCTGTGCTGGGCTGGGCTGCCTGCTGCCCTGCGTGGTTGCGTGGTCCCATTGTCGTTTTTTGATCGATAGCAGGGACCCGATTGCTGAGCTTGGCATGCTCTGGCAGGGAGCTGAGGATGCATTGTGGTTGTCTTCTCTTCCTCTTCCTCGTCTTCTCCTTCCTCTGCCTCCTCCTCTTTCTCTTTACTCCTCTTCCTCTCCTCTCCTCCTTGCTCTGCTCTGCTCTCCTCTCCTCTCCCTTTTCCTCAGGTCACAGCGGAGTGAATCAGCTCGGTGGTGTCTTTGTCAACGGGCGGCCACTGCCGGACTCCACCCGGCAGAAGATCGTAGAGCTAGCTCACAGCGGGGCCCGGCCGTGCGACATTTCCCGAATTCTGCAGGTGATCCTCCCGGCGCCGCCCCACTCGCCGCCCCACTCGCCGCCCCCGCGGCCCTCCACTCTCAACGCCCTCTCTTCATTTCTTACTGTAAACGCTGCTAATTATGGACCCCCTCACCCACCCCACCCCAGTCCCTACCCCACTCCCCTGCCATCCCCGCTTTCCCCTTTCCTTCCAACATCCTTCCCTATCTCTTTCAACCTGGGTCAGTCACATAAGATAACTCATCTGCTTAAGGAAAAAAAAAATGTGTGTGAATTAAAAAAAAAAAAAAAAACCAAGCACCTTTCTCTTTTCATTTGGTAAAAACATTAATTGTGGTAACAGTTTATGAACTATATAAGCTGAGTTGTATAAACCAGCATAATTTCATTCTCTTTTCCCTCATCCCATGCTCACCTCAGATTTTGAGATATTTGTTTGCATTCTTCATATTCATGAAGAATATATATTGATTTTAAAAGGCAAATGCTATTTACCTCCCTACCTAACTCACATTTACTCAATTGGGCATTTTTTTTTTTAAGGAAAATAAGTACAATTTTAGTTTATTTTCCTCTTTTGCTCATTAAAATATAACACCACTTTAAGCAAGGTCAGCACAAAAAAATTAATCTGACTTCGTTTTGATGCATCTTCAGGCAAATGTTTAAGAAAACAGTTTTTTAAAAAAACCTTTTAAATTAGTTTTTTTTTTAGTTCAAACTGTTTGAAAGTATCATCATATTTGTAGTTTTTAGGGCTACAAATGTAATTTTAAGAAAAAAAAGCTCTCTACAGTAAGTTCTCATACCATTGAAGGTATATTTTTGTGTTATAGACCCATGCAGATGCAAAAGTCCAAGTGCTGGACAATCAAAACGTAAGCTTGTCATTGTTTAATGCATACTTAAACAATTTTATTTTTGTCTTGAAATTATTAATAATGTGGTTTTCTGTCCACTTCCCCTATGCAGGTGTCCAACGGATGTGTGAGTAAAATTCTGGGCAGGTATTACGAGACTGGCTCCATCAGACCCAGGGCAATCGGTGGTAGTAAACCGAGAGTAGCGACTCCAGAAGTTGTAAGCAAAATAGCCCAGTATAAGCGGGAGTGCCCGTCCATCTTTGCTTGGGAAATCCGAGACAGATTACTGTCCGAGGGGGTCTGTACCAACGATAACATACCAAGTGTAAGTTCACCGATCACATTCCCCCTCCCTGCCCTAAGCCCCATGCTCTTTCCTCTCTACCATCTCTCTCTTCACCTGCCTACCCACCTCCTCCCTGCCAGTGTCATTCTGTCTCTGTCCCCTCCCTGCTCCATCTATGTCACCTCTGTATCTGGGGGTGTTGAGAGGAGGACACTGACCTTTTTTTTTTGATCTTCTGGAAAATGGGAGTCAAGTGTGGGGAGCTGTTCACCTTATTTGCATGCTGCAAAGTAGAGGGTGGAGGCACTCAAGCAAAGGCCCTTGGATCAAGAAGGAAAATGAAAATGAAAACCAAATTCTAACCTCCTCCAATTCAGACTGCCTGAACCTTCCTTCAGGTGTCAAACGTCCACTTCTGCCCTAATATGAAACAAAGTGAAAGAGAGCTCTAAACCAAGTCATAGTCTTTTTTGTGGAAGTCTTTTAACAAAGATTAGGTCACTGCAGACATCCAGCAGCAGTGAAGGAAGAAATGCCCTCTCCATCCCGCATTCTCTGCCCAACCCAGTTTCCATGCCCAAAGTGATGGCTGTCATTCTGTCCAAAATGTCTCTGCAAATCCACCCACTGTCCCAGGATGGCTGGGAGTTTGTTTGATTGTGTGTGTGTGTGTGTGTGTGTGTGTGTTTTAACGTGTTAAGGGTCGTTCTTTAAGAGAGTGGGTGTGCTGAATTGGGGACTGAAGATAGGGCAGCTGTCTTCGGGAGACGCTACCATTTGGTTTGATTTTGGTTTGATTTGCAGGTGTCATCAATAAACAGAGTTCTTCGCAACCTGGCTAGCGAAAAGCAACAGATGGGCGCAGACGGCATGTATGATAAACTAAGGATGTTGAACGGGCAGACCGGAAGCTGGGGCACCCGCCCGGGTTGGTATCCGGGGACTTCTGTGCCAGGGCAACCTACGCAAGGTAAAAACCCGAGCACTCACCCTCAAAAGTCTCCATATAGGGAGCCACTTGCCCAACTTCTCCCCCAACTTCTCCCCTCTCCTCACTTCTGTGCTGGAAGAACGTAGTGGAGAGACTCTTTAAAGGCTTGGGACACACTGACTTGCCCTGTATGAGGGTAGTATTTGTTGAACTATCTCATTGGCCTTCGAATTTGAGGGTGGTGGATGTCAGGAGTAGTAAGAATGTGGCTGGTGCGTGTGCGCGCGTAGGTTATGGGCAGGAGTATGTGCGTGTGTAAGAGTTAGCTGTGTGGTGCCCTATTCAAATTTGCCATTAAAATGCACGGAGGGCCCCCTTGCTGTAGAAGTGTGACAAGTTAACACACTGACAGACTGCGAGGTAAACATAATTGTATCGTTTTGCTTTTTGCCGTAATTGACAAATTATGTGACTATGAGTAGGGTGCATATGAAAGGGCGAGCAGCGAGATGCAGGGCGGAGCACAGGATAGGGCACTGGAAGTGGTGGGCTCCCAACTCAAACAACCCCATCATCTCGGATTCCCTCCGCTTCCCTGGGCCCCCAGTTCTCACCCTCTGTGGGTGGCGACTGCACAGAAGGGTGGGGTGAGGATACTGTGAACCGGCCTGCGGGGTGTCCGGAGCCGCTGGCTGGGGCGG